TGAGATTATGGTGTATTAACATGGATGGAATCCCTTATGTCAGCATGTCTAGCCAGAGGTGGACAAGAAGTCTCTCCTGATTGGCTGCGATAAAGGAGTGGTAAGGGGGCAGGATTATTATAACAGAAGCCCTCAAAGTCCTTGGCCAGATGATTGGGCAGGATGACGACATTAGCCTGCTGGAATCCTGACACACAGACACAAGCAAATACACACATTTTATACATTTCTATTATGTTACAATAGAAAGAAAACAGAAAACTACCATCTGCTCCAGTCCATGGGTTCATTTCCATTGTCTTCAAATGTATCTCTGGTCATCAGAGGATAAGCACGCTTCTTCATTTTCATATTGAGTGCATGGATGTGCCCAGCTGACAGTCTTCTTTCTAACTGCAACATTTCAACACCTTCCAACACTATGCAGCTAAATTAAACACTTCTCAGACTGCAGACTGTGGATGACAATGTAAAATAGAGACAGGTGTGGGAGACCAAGCGGGTTAAGGTACTAGATTAGTCAAAAACGGGCAAAGATATACAGCATGTTGTTGACAGAACCAAATGAAACTCGATGTTGTCAGGTGTGTGACACAACTCCCTCCCCCAGCGAAGCTCTGAAGCCCAAAAATTGCCATTTGCCACAGCAAAATTTGATGTTGACATTTCAGAGTTAAACATTTTGGGGTTGATTTCAACTCCCTAAGAGTCAGTGTAAAATGCTGTCCAGTGTTGGACAGAGTTGATCATGTCAGTGTTAGTTTAACTCCTTAGAGATGTAATTACACTCCATCCACAAATGTAATTTCTTTGGTTGGCACCATTCATGCAGTTTAAGCTATAAATGAAATTAACCTTAAAGACTTTTAGAATTGAGCCTGTGACTTCAACAACAAATTCGACACATGCTCTACAAAGCTTTGCTTGATGCCAAGAATATAATAGCGCTAAACTCTCAATGGCCCATGTTGCTTATATCGGTAGCATGCACTACTAGTGTAAACTGTGTCACCGCCATGTGCTACATGATAACTAGTGCAGTGTTGACCATTTTCTCAACGTGTGTCTCTGAGTGAACTTTGAACACTGACTTAGTGTGTTTGTTCTCCGTTGTTGTGGTACATTGGTTTACATTGTGAGAGTTTTTATCTCACTCTGTAACAGTGTAAATAATGTGAACACTTTCAAATGTGTTAGTTTAACACTTTTTAGTGGTTCCCATATAAACACTGGGAAAGCGTTTAATTTTACTCTAAAAGGTGATAAATCTGCTTTGTTAGATTTGCAGTGCACCTCATTTAGAGATTTCTAGATTCTTGATGTGTAAATCACAATTTGATATTTTCCTCAAACCACTGAGCCCCAGGTTTTACCTGATGTGAGGTAAATAGGATCAGTTAATAGGTGTCACACTGGCTCTTACCTTCAGCTAATCCAGTCGTGGTGCTGACTCTGCAGTCTTTCTGCCTGATTAACAG